TTCGATGTGACCACGGTTCGCGGCTAAGTTTACAGGCGTCCATCCGTTACTGTTTGGAGCATTGGCATCTGCTCCGCGGTCGAGCAGCAGCCGGACTACATCGATGTGGCCGCTATTAGCTGCTGCGTTTATAGGCGTCCATCCGTCCTTGTTTGGAGTGCTGGCGTCTGCTCCGCGGTCGAGCAGCAGACGGACCACTTCGATGTGACCACTGTTCGCGGCTAAGTTTACAGGCATCCATCCATCGTTGTTTGGAGTATTGGCGTCTGCTTCGCGGTCGAGCAGCAGCCGGACCACTTCGATGTGACCATGGTTCGCGGCTAATTTTACAGGCGTCCATCCGTTACTGTCTGGAGCATTGGCATCTGCTCCGCGGTCGAGCAGCAGCCGGACCACTTCGATGTGGCCGCTATCGGCTGCTGCGTTTATAGGCGTCCATCCGTCGCTGTTTGGAATATTGGCGTCTACTCCTCGGTCAAGCAGTAGCCGGACTACGTCGATGTGGCCGCTATCAGCTGCTGCATTTATAGACATCCATCCGTCGTTGTTTGGAGTATTGGCGTCTGCTCCACGGTCGAGCAGCAGCCGGACCACTTCGATGTGGCCGCTACCAGCTGCTGCATTCATTGCTGTGACCCCGTACTTGTTTGTAGTTCCGATCTCCGATCCTGCCACCAACAGAAAACTGACGACGTCCTTGAAACCTTTCTTCGCTGCTGTATAGAGCGCTGTCCGTCCCATAGAGTCTTTGAGTTCGAGCTTGGCGCCGTTGCTGGTTAAGGCTATGACCATATCCTCGAAACCTCCAGCTGCAGCAGCAACAAGAGCCGCACCAAACTCGCCTCCTTCAACATTCACGTCTGCACCCCATCTCATCAGCATCTCGAATGCCTTGTTGTTGTGCTTTGCGCAAGCCGCCTGTAGAGGGGTGCCATATCGACCACCCAAAACATTCAGTTGCGTCTTATCTTGGTTCCAGATGGATTCCAGTGTCATAAGAAGATTGAATAACGTGGCATAGTATATTGGGGTTCCAGCTACTTTCTCTTCGCCATCCTCAGCATTTCGGCAAGACTCAAAGTACTTTGCCCACCTGCTGAACTTCGAATTTCCAGTATGTAAGAAGTCGGTCACGATCCGTGACGCCCAAGGATCCTCTTTTACTACGTTTTCAAGGTGCAGTTGCCAAAACCTTGAAGCATAGTCAAGAAATGAATATCCACTGACATAGCTTTGATTATTATCTGAATCATTCCAGATGTTGTTGTAATTCAAATATGTCAGGCAAACGGCCGAAAGATAACGATGCTGATCAGCCGGATTTGCTGCGCACTCAGTTGTGGATGCTTCATCTGAGAGCATTTGCCGATGCTTTGGCAGAACCGATAGGAGAAACTCTCTGACTGATGGATGAACGAGGTGGATGGTTTTGGAGGCGGACTGATCCTCGGAATTTGCTCTCCTGACTTCCACCAAAGAGCCGCAGATGGCTATAATCTCGTTTTCGATATACTTCTCGTCGATGTCGTCGGGGAGTTCATCTAACGGTAAACTGCTACACTTGGCGTAAGTGTTAACAGCTAGGACTTCCGAAATCTCGGATACGGACAGTGGCCGTAAGGAAAATGTTGTCCAGCGCAAGATTGCAAATGCACGGTCTTGGTCATCTGCGGGCTGACGTTTGATGTCTTCCCAGTTCTTCTTGTACGTTTCAGTAAGTCCAATTGGCATGTTCTCAACGATATTTTCTAGTTTCGTCTTGCTTTTAGTGTCGCGCAGCTGTGGCTGCTGCATCTTGATCCACTGGAACATTCCCTCACATTTCTGAGTGAGTTTATCTGCCAGCCTCACTCGAAGGTTCTCATCCTTTCTTGGTAGCGTTTTATCCACCACAGATCTGGAGTAGAGTTTGAGATCGTCGTCGACATCTTTCTTCGTAATCTTGTATTTAAGAATGACTTGCTCTGATGATTTGACCGTTGACAACTCTACTTTAATATCAGTTTCTTCCCGGCTGGTTATGAGAATTCTCGTTGCGGTGCCGGCAGCCACGCTCTTGAGCTTTTGCAAGAAACTGACACGAGCGTCGTCTGTTTTGGAGTACTCGTCGAGCCCGTCAAGGAAAAGAGCGACACCCTGCTTCTGTGCCAGGACAGCTTCAAAAGCAGACCAGACCTCAGAGTCCAACGCTCTGGCTCCAACATCAGAGCGCTTGGCGTAGCCCCAGATCAGTTCGAGGGTGTCAGGATCTGGAGCTGCTAACTGTGCCATCCAAGACCGAATGATGAAGCTCATATCGCCTGTCGGAGCTGATGCGGTGTGAAGTGAGGAGAAGAAGAAAGCCACCAACCACTCATGCTTAGCCTTAAAACGTTCAAGTATTTTGGCGCAAAGGACGGTTTTGCCAAACCCAGCAGGCCCACATACCCACAGTAGTCTAGGTGCATCGCTGCCGGAATCATCAGAATCCCAGGCAAGGTATTCAGGTTTGTGAAAGATCCAGTTGCATGTGCCATGAAGGTACAATGACAACTGCTTATCATATTGCTGATGCATGTTGTATAGTCGGTTGAAGTTTGTCATATCCAGCCAGTCGATGGTAGCCGCCATCGCTTGCTCCCTGGCTTTACGTCGCGCATTATCAAAGTACAATTGGATACTGCGCTGGAAGTTTGGGGACGCGGATCGGCCTCGTGTAGGTTGGTCTATTGAAAAGGTCATGAGCGTCATTTTCAGTACATCGCGGACTCTACATACCACCAGCGGGATTTATCAAGATTGTGCCTGGTCGGATGGGGTATGGCCCAATGTTGATTAGCTCTGCGATGTTATAGGATGCGTGGACTCCAGACTCCCTCCTGCCAATCAGTGCCGTCGGCGTATCCCAAGGCAGCGTTCCATTATCGATAACCTCTGCATCGCGATCAGAAGGAGCGGTCATTAATTCGCTGTAGGCAGGGCCCCATTGATGCGTAGAAGCGAAATTGGCCTGTAAGTTGAGCTGAGTATTGCTTGTGCGTTTGTAGATCTTCTCCTTCAGCCGACGCAATGCATGTTCAGCTCCTTCCCCATAATGAGGCGACATGAATATGTTGAATATGCCCAATAAAGAGTAAGCCTTGTCCTCTTCGCGCTTGGTCTCGCGGTTATCGGCCCACGAAAAGCGCTCATCGATGCTGAACTCGGAAAGACCATGCCCTTGTAGAGCTTCGATTTTGATCTTTGTTATCTCGTGAAGTTGGCGTTCCAATGACTGCTTGTCACCGAGGTGTTGCCCTTCTGAGGAGAAGAATTCGACCGACGTCGGTGCAATGAGCTCTTGGAGCGTCCAACCACGAGTAAACCATCTGCTTCTCCGAAAGGCAGGTTCCCAGAAGGATTGATCCATTTGGTCATAAGTATTCATCGAGACGTCTTCCAGATACACGTAACACTTGATCGCATTACGGTACCAGTGAAACATGGATGTAATAGCCTCTGAAAGCTCTGCAGAGCTCGATTTATCAATACAGCAAGTATCCACCCAGATGTGCTGGAGGCCATCGCGAATGGCTTGCTTAGCACAGAACCGAATCTTACTGTATCCAACCTTTGCCTGCCCAAGGCCTTCGGTCATATCTCCAAAGGTGACTTCCTCCTCCTCATCATCATCTCTCCAGGTGTGCGAAAGTATCGCATATCTGGGGATATTCCTATGCAGATCTTTGGTCAGGCTGAACTCGCCACTTTCCGAAACTCTTAAGAGACGCATTACGAAGATTGAAAGCGAACACTGAGAGTTTATAGAGAAAAACGTTCAAATTTTCAAAAAGAATATCCTATGCAAAATTGTCCTGATTGACAATGCATCGTAAGGGTCGAGATTAGGGAAGTTGAGAATCTGTGAGTTGAGAAGTGGGGCCTCCTTCAGAAATCAGTGAGGGGCATGACCGCATGAGGCTCCCCGATTTATTAATATCTCGATGCCTACGGAGTATCCGTGCCCTTGGACCCACCCACCACCTCAGTACGGGCCCTACGGGGGCAGTGCTCTGAGAAGCAAAGCAAAGCTGTGGCTGAGTTTCAAACTTGCACGTGCACGGAATTTACACAGAGAGATATTGGGACGGAGATGCCCTACGTACCTGCCTATAGCCCGGCCATTATCGAGGGCCTCAGTTTTGCCGATCAGCGACATGAGAGGATATTCGAAGCGCACCCTTAGGAAGGCCGTGATACATACCTCAGGTGCAGCAGCAGAAGACGTGCACTGCGCTGTCGTGTCGAACTGTCGATTACCGGTAGTCAAGACACGCTCACTTTACTGGTGTTTGCAGAATGAAACCATTTCTAACTATATACTTAGATTATTCTTAAATATTGCCGCCGCATTATCCGCCTTTTAAAGTACTGATTTGAATTGCAAATAATTCTGCACGCCCGCGAAGTCCAACTGTACGCGTCCACGTCACCGCGGGTGGAAACATTGATGGAGAAGAGTTCTCTATTGATGGCTAAGTACAGTGGCGATGAGAGAGACGCACGCGTCGCGCGTGCAGGTCGCAGGTGTTGAGCGTAGTATCGCCATACCACCAACACCAGCACGACTGTGTCTACTGCCTCCGCTTAGACACGGTGTCCTTTCATCAAGGGAGGCCTCTTGAGGGATACAAAGGGATACGAAAACCATCCGATAGGGGTCTATCTAGCTCGCAGCTGGATCCGGAAGCCTAACTTATCATTAGGTGGATGAGGACGCGTCCTAGGCCTCTAACAGGACACCCTCAGGCTCGCCTACTCTGGGGTTACGCGTGAGCAACGAGCTGCGCGTAGCGAGGCCTTGGAACAATCCTAATTCTAAAGAACTTGTTAAGGCTAACTTGTATAAATCTAGGCGAACTCTGTTAAGGCCGGAGGGCCTCTTCGCAACGGGAGCGCTTGTTAAGGCCCCTCTATCGGAACCTGTTAATACCACAACGACACGAGCTTACCGGGCGTAACAAGCACGACAGCTTACGGAACTGGAGTCACAGGCCAGTCGATAGAGGAGAAACACAGGTATGCTCCTGGTGGAGGCTTGATGGAGACACAGACCCGTCGCGTGGATCTATACAATGGGAGAATCACGGGCCAACTTAAGATGATGGAGGACACGAGCTTGGTTAGTAGGATAAGGCTGCTTGCGTTGCCCGGAGCGGAACGAATGCGTACTGCCTTATCCTGCAAGACACGGTCGGCCAATCAGAGGGAGACCTCTATGGGCAACGCGAAACGGCTACTGTTTACAGTAGTCGCGGGGCGTAGTGCGTGGTAGCCACTGCTGGCTCCAAGGACCTCATCCCTTCAATGGGCTCTGACCCTTGGTGAATCTGAAAGCAGACGGGATCAAACCCCGGCCGGAGAGACTACCATGTGGCTCGAGAGAACGGATGCGCGTGTCGGTATACAGAGAGACAGGACCAGTCGCTAGGCTGGAACGCTGATGATGTATGCTTAAGGAGCATACAGGCGTTACACAGGCAGAGACCCTTTTGGTTCGGGGGCGACTGTGGACGAGCGAAGTGCAGATGGCACAGCTCAGAAAACTGTGGCAGGAGTCTGGATAGGCAGACTGGTGAAACCTGCGATTGTATACAAACACAATATAATGTCCTGTCCCCCGGCCCGAACCAGTTAGGGGATATCAGACACAACAGCGAAAAGGCCCGCACCGGATGATTCAGGACGAGTATCGAGCGAAATGGAGGGAGAGATGGCAAGCCGAAGCGGCCAGACCAGGAAGGAGAGCAAGGACATGGAAGGACCCGTGGGAAACCCAGTGCCTTAACCGGTTCAATGGCCTTCAGAAACACGAGGCCTCGGCGCTTATGGCACTACGGACTGAGGTAGTTGGAGTTAAAGGATGGCCTGCGAAAATCGGTGTCCCGGGAATCCACCCAGCGTGTGAGTGCGGTGCCCCCCGACAGTCTCTCTACCATCTCCTTGCGTTTTGCCCGCAGCGGACCTACCAGAGGATCGCGCTCCTCCAACGAGCTGGAACAACGGACTTTAAGAGGATATTGCATGACAGGGACAAGGTGCGCCACGCAGCAAGGTGGCTGATCGATGCGGGAGGCCTAGAGCAATACCGGGTGGCCAAGGAAGTTGAGAAGGAAGTAATAGAGGACTGGAAACCGTTCCAGCTCCTCCACGACGTGCCAGAATAAGCTCTCCGCGTCGGCGGAAACACCGACCCGTGCGGAAAGATGAACAATGATTGAGATACTCTACTAAGGGGAGGAGGCGGGATTTTACGTACCTGCAGCCTCGGCTGGGGGGAAACTTTTGCCCGCGACAGACCAGATAGAATATCGTGCTCATAGACCCGAAAGGGATCCAGATAGTACGTTAAATTGATTCTTATTATTAATAATCTAATAAGCAACTGTATTGCTACTCGCGTGATAAAGTACTTCGCTGGTCTCACCTTGTGTGCGCTGACATAAATACTCCTGAAAGTAAGAATAGAATGAGTCGGAGAATATCTGAAGACAAGGTCTCTAGTTTCGGGACTGTGATTGAAATAGCGGTACTATCGTTTCGAAATCGAGGTTCGCCTCAGGATGCTCTTTTTTAACATGCTGTACCAACGATTTCTTTGAAAAGTATCCACCAACTCGACTACATCCATTAATAGGACAAGGGTATGGAGACTCGTCATGTATATGCCTCATATGCCTGGCATATTCTGAAGAAGTATTGAATGCATGCCCTTTAAAGTCTGGATGGAGTCGATCTAGGCGGAATTCCTTACAATCCATATGATGGCAGGAATATCCTACACTAGTGACGCCAATCCCATGGAAACTGCGTAAATGTGACTCTAGATGGTCTTTCCGCTTGAAGGCGTTTACGCCACTGTAACGGTTGCAGTGAAGGCATGGAAAGCGAGGCGCATCACTCCTATGATCGAGCAGGTGTCGAGACAGAGTGTCTATCCGAGCATAAGACTTCTGACACCCTTTAAAACCACATCGACAGATCTTGTGTGATGTTTCTTGGGCATGGATATTTGACAGGACTAAGGAGTCAAAGTTTTTCCTGCATTCAGAGCACGTTCTGCCACAGGAACTTGACTTCAGGTGTTCCAAGAATTCTGATGAGCTCTTGATATCGTTTTGGCAAATTGGACATATATAGATGTGTTCTCCGATGTTTTGGCTGAGTTAGGGTGTCAGAATCTACTACTGATAAATACCCTTCTAGTCCTGAACTTACCTTGACTCAATTCCTGTTGTACTAGGCGGGAAAACCTCAGCATCGCTATCATAGGCGGCATCACCAGGCTGAATATGAGATGCCGACGCCAGCGTCTTGCCGTCTGGCGAGAACGCCACGGCCCCGACGGTCTCCGAATGGCCCTTGAGCGTCTTCAGCGCCGCTCCCGGGAGGAATAACGATTCATGGCTGGTCCTCGGAATTTGTAAGATTGATGGATTACCATACATCCATTCCGGTTGAGTCTGGCCTCGACCATTTTGAAATGAGTCTGACGACTGGGCCGGTCTGTAGTGGGTTGTTGTCTGGGGAGATTCATATTCTGGATTTGAGAGGTTCGTCCAGCTACCCGAAGGATTTGTGACAATATCAGACCGGATGAATCTCGGTAAACTGTTTTGCTCCGAGTTCAACCTAGCTCTTCAAGGGTTATGCGCTGTGACTCTATCCAGCGATGTTCAAGGCACTGGGTTGTAGTCATTCGCATATTAGGGCGCATCCCTATGAGATTACAGATAAATTCCTCCCCATCGCCTCTAGCAGATGACGGAAGTTGATCCGATGGGAAGGGCCGCTTTTGTTGATAGTATTCCATTAATTCCCACTCGGACTTAAATGTGGCATTGCCAGTCAGCATACGAAAGGCGATTTCTCCCAAAGCCCACATATCTGCCGCCTTAAAGTCAGAGATATGCTTAGGTTTAGTAAGATCAGGGAATCCGAGTAGCTCCGGCGCCATATACCCTTTCGTGCCTTGGATCGTAGTAGTAGGTGCGTTACTCTCCTCGTCTCGTTTACTGATACCGAAGTCAGCGAGTACTACCCACCACTTCCCCTCCGGCGGTTTTAATTTGATAAGGATGTTCTAGCGATGTTACTAAATAATTGCTTAACATTTATATCGTACTTACTCCGGGCTTTAAATCCCTGTGCGCAAATTCATTCTTATGCATATGATCAAGGCCTTCGAGTATTTGACGCGTCACTTGTTGAGCTTCTACCGCGAGCAGGGAACGTTGGTTGAAGAGGTAGTGATGAAGGTCACCATAATGGCAATATTCCATAGTAATGAAGATTGAGCTCAAATCTTCATACCATCCGAACGACTTTACGAACCAATGTTCATACTATAATACTAATATCAGCTTACGTTAATATATCTCGAAGTAATTTAACTCACTCGTTTATGAGAAAATTTTGCAATCGCTTCTAACTCTCTGTTGAAATTCGGGGACTTGTTGATGACCTTCACCGCGCGGAGAGCATCCTGCTTTGCACCGGTGGTAACACATATCTGCAGCAGAACCGCTCCAAATCGTCCGTATCCAAAGTTTCTATCCCATTTCCAGTATTCTTTTCGGTAGGATCGAGAGCCTGCTTCGTCGATATCGTGAACTGCATGGATGGTTGCGGAATTGCTAAACTCCGTAATAAGTTTGGAGTCCGACACGAGATCTGGTGTTCGAGGCATTATTCGAACCTATAATATTGTTAGCCGCGAAATAATAACTATATCGAAAGTTAAACCGAGACTGACTGTGTGGTATCCTTCGGATACATAGCTTTGTTGGCCGATGAAGCTCACCTCGAATACTCTGCAAAGACCGAGACACTGAAAGACGAAGAAGTCCAAGAATGTTCCGATGCAAGTCTCTGGGGTAATATGGTCTCTGAGAATCGAGGGGAATAACAAAGTACACCGCCATCTCTACCTATATCGCATTGCTCTCAGCTGACGCATTCGATTGGCTGGATGTGAGGTAGCACAGTAGGGGGCGAAGCTCCGGCTGTGCTGGGCATACTATGTACTATGTTTTGGACTGAGAGTCCGCCATGGACTGGGACAAGTCGTGTTGCAAGATGCCCTGTTGGTTTCTACAGCCACCTAACATTCCTTCACTGCCCTCTACCCCTGGGCTAGGCCTAATCAGGACTCTTCAGTCTTCTCCATGTAATTAAGTTATCTTCATCCGGCTTAGTTACTAGCTAGATCTCCTTTTCTAGACAATGGGAATCTTTAATAACTACCAATTCGCGTTAGTTAACTAAGTTAGTTATGACTCTACAGTAACTGAGCTTAAGCAGCGACCGTGCTTAATCATCATCCCCGCGAAATGCGACAGTTGCATCAACGGGCATTGCATCAATGATGACGTCGCTATTCGAAATCGGCGACTCGGTAATAGTAATATTGCCGCCCAGCGCCTGTGCATCTTGTACCTTGCGAGAGTACCGGTCCAATAGGTTGCGCTGTCCTGTCTTATGGACCTAAAGAGCTTGGACATCTCGTCTCTCAAGAAGCTTTTTAAACTCTTCTTCACTCAGGTGGCATAGGGCAAAGGGATCCGCCGTAGATGATAAGTCCGCCAGGAGAGAGAAAAGGGCATCTTCAGGAGGTGCGAGCACACCCAGCATAACCCGCGCTAGATTCTGAGACACATAATCCGGGAAATAATACTCCTGTTGAGTATTCGATTTGTGCATAAGCATCCAATGCCCAAGCAACTCGCCGAGAATTCTAATAATTTTGCCCCCGGAACCGACTCGCATAGAGTAGGGGATCGGAGGATTCTCCATGCCGGCGACTTCGCACCAGCGATACCATATCCTATAGAACTGCGACCCGCTGATATCGACGAATGGGAAATCGTCCAGGCCTTGTGCCCAAGGAAGGAAAAGGACTTTGCAACCTCGAAGGTTGGGCCGGGTCAAAACTTGATCAAAGGACGTATATCCGGCCCGGAAGCACGCCGTGCTAGAGCGCGGCCAATGATGTGACTCGCAAGACAGACCAGTCGGCATGGCAAAATGGCCACGGCAAACTCGCGCCCGGGGCTCGCAGGCTTTATGGAAGCCACTCGCAGTTTGTTTTCTGGCATTCGGATTCGTACGAACGCGTTCGTTTTCCCGCCAACGTTGACGAGTCCTATCCTGACTTCTGCATACTTCAGGTTTCTAGGACAGTCGATCCGGAATCCGCCAATAGCTATATAGAGCACGATCATGGCGAAGTCGCTAAGTTGCGCCGTAGAGTGGAGGATATCGCTATAACGATTCAGGAGAGCCTACATGATGACTACTCTATCCTGAGCAGTCGTAGCCCGCTTTTGGCGCTTGAGTGCGTTAGAGATACCGGTAAGGAAAGGAAGGTCGTGGACAATCCACTACAGGGACGTTAGTATCCTTCTCCGCACAAATAGAGGGCAGACCTCACATTGGAAACCACCCACACGGGCCCTGAAATAAGTTTTCCACTTGGATTGACGAGCCTCTATTGCCTCGCGGTTTGCCTGTTCTCTCTTCTTTTGGGTGTAAGGACTGCTTCGTCCCCTTCCTGCACAAGCGCTCTCCACACTATCAGGACGGTGGATACTCGATTCACCTGTCGGACCTCCTCGTATTCTTGATCTCCTAACGCAACCCCGGAGACCGAAGAGTCGGAGACATAGGTCTGGAGAAAGGCACGACATGTATCCTGAGCCAAGGCTACCTCCACTGGTGAAGAGCTGCAAAGGGATAACCAGGTGTTTCGTACTACTTGAAGAGCCACATCGCGTAGCCGCGCTTGTATGTAGTTCTGTCCGACACTGGGACCGTATCGTCGAGGGGCTTGTTCTGGAAGCTAGCTAGACGCTCCTTTGCCTCTTGTTCTCCGGCTTCGCCCTTTCGAATAGTGCGTCGTGGCACCATAGTCAAAGACGTATCTTGGAATAGACGTCGAGAATTTTGGCTGCGTGTAGCATTGATAGCGTCGACTACCTCCGAACCCGATGGAACTGGAACTGAAGAAGAGTACTGTAGAACTGCAAACGGAGCTCCTGACCGAGGGCGAGACTGTAGAAACTGCGAACAGGACTCATGACTGAGAGCGAGACGGGAAATCTAGGGAGAATGGGCATCTTTACGATCCTTACCAGAGTGCATTTTCGACGGGCCCTCGTCTTTCGGCGGTATTGACCCTCTGTTTTCGACCTCGTTTATATCGCTGGGAGACCATAGGGGAACTCCTATTGCTGCATGTTTTTATTTTTATGACCATTATGTCAAGTTTTTCAGTGGGCGGATTGGATTTATGGTCGTTTATGATGTAAAAAACTTCAATTTCTAGCACATACGGCCACATCAACCTGAATATAGGGCATCCCGTCCGCTCTGCCGTACTCAAGCAGGTTAGAGATAGAATAGTACTACGGTGGGTGACCACGTGGGAACTCCT